TGTATTATTTTCTTGCACTTTGTGGCGAATGTGACCTTCGTTGTTACCATTCCAACATCTGGGTTCACGTCTCTTCGGCATCATGCTACGAACTACTTTTCACTCGTCACTTTCTTCATAGGTTCGTACTTGATAGCTCCGTGAAACTCGACTAGCTATCTCATCTTCCAAGGCAATGGCGACCGCTTCATCTAAAACTTTCGGTCTTGCTAGTCGTAAAGCTTTATGTAGTTCACTGTCTCTCAACCCATTGACGAAGGCATCTACAGCAATTTCTTCCAAAATGTTGTCTGGTGCCTCTGTATAGGCCAACAGCGGCAACAGCGCTATACGAGCAATATCTGCTTCAAATTCTTGCAAACTCTCACTTGCTCGTTGGATTATACTTCTTATTTGTACTTTGTAGACTTGTTGTAGATGTGCATCTCCGTAACGTTTGTCTAGTCGAGTGAACAAGGTCTGGTAACATTTTTCTTGACCCTTAGGAATCGATCTTAGGATATCTGCAGCATCACCTCGTAAAGCAGCAGTCAAGGAAACAGCTTTTTCTTGTTCTGTCCAATGATTGGCTGTCGCAATAGCTTCAAATTGTCTAAGGTATATGGACCAAGAGGACTTTCCATCAAACGGTGGCAATGTGAATCTCATATAATGTGTCATTTGGTCTCTAGGTGATTAAAGCTACCGTATTAATTGGTGGTAGCACTTTCGTGTTAGTTATCATGGTCTCTAATTGTTTGATCTTCTCTTCTACGTTGTTTACATTTTTCTGTATGTTATCGAATGTTATTGAGACTTCTTCAAATTTCTCATTGTTTTGATTACATACTTCTTTAATTATTTGAGAAGTCTTGTTGAATCTTCTAGACACATTTTTAAATTTCTCGTCATTTTGTCTCGCTACTTCTTTAATAATTTGTGAAGTCTCGTCGAATCTTCTAGATACATTTTCGAATGTTTCATCAAATCTTTTGGAAACGTTCTCTAATGTATCATCATTTTTTTTACAAGATTCTTCAATCATTTGCAAGACGTTTTCAAATTTTCTCATCATGTTTTATAGAAGATTCTTCAATCATTTGCGACACATTTTTTATTTTCGTTAAAACTGCTTCTTCTGCTGACTGGAACTGGAATGTCTCTGGGTCTTCTCCATTCTTGTTGAGAACAGTCTTCAGTCGTTTTTGGACTATCTTCTTGGACCCGCTGCAGTCTTCATCGCGTTCTTCTAGTTGCTCACGCAACTGTTTCACTGAAAGTTCTACTAGCAGCATCTTTGGTCAGGCACACACGTACTTTTTAAATGTTCTCTCGTACAACGATCACTATCGAACTACGCGGATGTTCCCGACGAACAATACTTTTCAAAAGTTCAAAAGTCTTTTCTTTTTTCAAAGTCACTGCTGAATTTATTTTTATTAAATCAATTATTGTCCTCACACTATGACACCAACTGTACCGTTTTTAAATAAAATGAGCGGTGTGAATTTATATAAATATATTTATTTACAACTTTACAGTTCGGTATTCTCTGATCAACTAACTTACTCCTAAGATCGTTACATATATATATATATATATATATATATATATATATATACATACCTAAGTTACTATGTTCTAGAAAGTTCCCACCTCTAATTCGCGTACGTGACCGATTGTTCTCTTGCCTTCGAGAGTTCTGGTGATGATTCTCGAAGCGGTTTTGAGATGCAACCGTTACATGTGACATGCCGAAAGCATGTTCGTAACAATATATATATATATATATATATATATATATATATATATATATATATATATATATATATATATTATATACATATATATATCACACATCAGCAACAACACTGTCACAAGTCAAAATTCAGTATTTTTTTATTTTTGTTGTATTAAATGGGTATTTTGTTAAACTTTTGTCAGCATCACTGTCGAAAAGATATTTTGTCATATAAGCGCTAGATGGCGACTTATGTCTGTTATAGCTATAACTACTTTTGTAGAACTCTATTCAACAATAGTGTAACAGCTCACTTATGACAGTGTTGAAGTAATCTTTAGATATATTTTTTTCAAATTAAGTGTGCTATACTACTATTATTTACTAAGAGCTATAGGTCTTGACAACAACACTGTCACATTATTCTGAAAGCCACATTGTGGTGTGTTTTCTGTTTATTAAAAATGTGTTTTTTGTGAATTTATCATAGAAGTATGACTGATCAGTCAAAATAAATCTATAGAGACAGCTATCAGCAAATAGCTGACATCTATAGAGATGATAAAACAATTTGTATGGAAGAAAATAAAAGTTATGAGAATGTCACCATGTTCTCAAGAATTTTTAGAAATGAATTTAATCTCATTTTTCCAACCTAAGAAAGATCAGAGCGGTATGTGTGCAGAGTATAAAAATGCAAAGAGTAAGGTCAATTTACAGAAAAATTGTGATCGTCATTTAAAAGAAGAAGATCTATCACATATTAAAAAAGATTAAGATAAGCAAAGAAGCAAAGCATGTGAGTGTATTACGGTGTTTTGATTTACAGGCAGTTCTCCACACACCTTGTAGGGACATTAACTCCTTTAACTGTACATCAAAGTTAAGTATGTATAACTTTACTATATTTGACTTAGGATTATTGAATGGTTTCTGCTACGTTGGGCACTAAGGAGAAGGTAACTATGGATCTAATGAGATAGGATAATGTTTATACTAATTTCTTAAAAATGAATGCCCTAAAGCCCTTCCTGTTGTATTGCTACAACAATTGCTATAGTTCGAACAAAAACAAATTTATAACCTTCTTTAAATACTAAGCAAACTCGATATTCCTTTGATCACTTAAAGTTTTTAATTGTTGGTCATAAGCAAAATAAAGGAAACAACATGCAATCCTTGATTGAAAAACAGAAGAAATATCCTATCACAATTTTGTGGTTTTGGAAGGAAAACACCTTTGGGTTTTCAGCAACATAGACACATTTGTTAATAATTAATATGTTAGTTTCAAATTTCTACAATACAGAATACTAATTAATAAAACAACCTAAATTAATCTTACTGAAGTAAAAATAACAACACTTTCATTCAATTTATAGAAATAATCCAACATTAAATAGTAAGGATAATGTTCATACCCGATTTACTCAAATTGACAATTTTTGACTTATGACAGTGTTGTTGCTGAGGTGCGATATATATATATATATATATATATATATATATATATATATATATATATATATATATAATAACATTACACTATGTTGTGCAATTATTACTCTTGTTGTTTAATGTTTTAATAAACTTCTTTCAGAATATTGTGGGTTGTGACCTATATTTGCCTTTGTATAGTCACTATTTGGGTTGTTGCAGCACAATCTGTCTCTTTTATGAAACACCCAACGATTGTGACTCCAGCGTTTTCCACCATCCAGACGAGAACTGTTCCTTTTCCTGCAGTAGCTGTTTGCAGTAATAATCGAATTAGTAAAGAAAAAGCTAAAATTTTGGCAAAAGAACTGTGAGTATTGAATGATAATTTTGTTGTGTTTTTTTTTAAACGGATAAATGACACATTTTATTTCATTAGTTGTTATGTATTATTTTTTACTGATGTTGGAAGAATAGACTAGTTGTTGGTTTTTTACCATTGGAAGCTGAAAAAGTAAACATATAAGATTTAACATATGCTTTAAAATCCGACTGATACAGTCGGATAGGTCAAAAGCGTTCTCATCAATTTTCCCAATTCTGGTTTTATGGTCGACGAAGTACTTCAGTACTTCATAATTTTGAGTTTTGCTTTTAAATTAGTCAATTTTCAGTCTTATAAAAATTAGATAAACTGTAGCACACTTTTACAAATTCGGTTGTAAAAATTCTCATTCTAAATGGTGCTCACGTGATAGATCTGTGGAAACAGAAACATTATATCTACGAAACTTTTAACACAGAATATTTCAATTAGTGCCACTTTTGAAATCGTATTTGAAAACGACTTTGAATCTGTAGATCAAAACCTGAAACAGACTCAACGTTTAACATATTTTCATTAAGTACTTTTGTAATACAAAAATCTAAGGAAGTATATATATGTTTCGCATATTTGAAAGTCAATATGTTGATCTTCTTGCAGATAGATTTTCTTTTTCTTACGGTACCTATCAGTTCCGGAAGTTGGCGATCAGCACGGGTATCCTAACTTTACTTGCAGCTGTTTGGAATATTCTGGTTGTAGAACCGGAATTGAACCGGTTGTGTTGAACCACTTTCTCAGAAGAACCACTTGAGGTCAAGGTATTTTTCTTCTTTCCAAATACTTTGTCCTGAAGAATGAGTTGGAACAAGCCACATCTCTGTTTATTCCTCATTACACGGCCAATATATTCTAATCTTGACTCTTTCACCATGTTAGTAATCGCACATTTCTTTATCCTATTCTACGTAGGATCTCAAAATTAAAAAAAAAAAAAAAAAAAAAAAAAAAAAAAAAAAAAGAGGTTAATCTTTGTTTTTGTTATACGTGGTATACAGCCAGCTACAGGAATTTTTCCTTGTGGATTTTGATCTCAAAATTAGCCAAATAATACAACCTTGAAATTCTTAACACTACGTCTTGAAGGGCTCGAACTCTCCTAAAGAAGCTTCATAAAGTGTCCAGGTCTCTACTCCATATAATAATGTAGAAAACACATAGCATCTGGTTATAGAGATTTGGGTACCAGCTGGTTAATCGTGACTTCATAAAAGAGAGTTTTTTTATTAATTGGATGATTGGTTAATTAAAGGCCGTGTATTTAATATTTTGCGCCTACTAACTACTGCAAATAGATACTGAAGATTAAAATTTTACAGTTAACTTACAGTATTTATCTTCCACTTACATTAAAAATTAGATGTAAATTAGAATGTAGTTTAAAGTGTGAATTGGTAGAACTAGATTTAATTTTAGATAATTTGTAGCGCAAACGTGACTAACCAGTCCTCAGAAATAATGCTCAAGAAAGTAAAGCTTTTGGGCCATATGTACACTTTTACTACTCCTACTTTTGACAGTCTACCGAATCTCCAATATAATCTAGAAAAGCTCAACTACAAAGATCTCAGGAAGCTAATGGGATGGGTATGTAATCAGCTGTAGTTAAATTTAAATAGAGTATTCGAAAATTCTCAGAAATGGTTTATTGCTCAGAAATGTTTATTGTATAAGTTGCTTCTATATAAAATATTTTTCTATTGCATTTGAATAAACTACTTGTAATAATTTAAGGTGTAGTAAGTAAAAAGAAAAAGAAATTTACTATCGTAAATCCCGTAATCTCTGTTTTAAGAAAACAACACCGCGCAAAACTTGAACAGCAAACGACAAGTGTCCCGCAGCAAGAATACAAATATCTGAAATGTCGGTGTATGATCGGTGACGACAACGGAGAGGAGTGGGAGTAGGATTGGTCAGCCGTCGGACAGGTGTGGCCTACGGCATTCACACAAGACACAGTCAATTTCCTATCATACAGTCGGCTGTATGATCGTACTCGGGTTCGAAGACTGCATGACAGACGTGTCCAAGTTTAACACACGGAAAGACGTTTAAGATTAAATTTCAATGCAGGGCTCCCGTCATCCGCTTATATGTATTTCGACCGTATTAGATCTCCTCAGAGCCACTTGTACAGAAACTCGAGATTGAAAATAAATTTCTCCCATCGTTAAAGAATAATTATAAAAATCATTTATATGTACATACGACGTTATAACGTTACAACGACATCTAATAACAATCATAGTAGAAAACCAAAGATTTCTACAATATACAAAACAGACAGATTGGTGAAATACCAACTTGATGAATTAAACTAAGTTATTTACGTGGCAGACTATTTGACATTCTACTCCAGGCACTCGAAGCGAAAGGGTCACTGTACGCATACCGGCTCGCATTATTCGAGTGCAGTAGCAGCGAAGATCTACGATCCACTAATAAACGTATATAATAAACATATGAAAATCAGATATATATATCCAAACCAATAAATATATAGAATATATATTAGTAAATATATAAAAAGCTAATATACTCCCAAATTAATATATATATATATATATATATATATATATATATATATATATATATATATATATATATATATATAGAAAATCCAAACTACATATACCGAAGTAAAATTAGTAAATACAGAAAAAGAAGACTAATACCCACCGAGAATCCAAAATTCCACCAAATTAATACCCACATAGAATTGGCAAAATAATAAATACACAGAAGCTGATAATAAATACAGGAAACCACCTAGTAGTAGGAGGGATTGCAGACGAGAGGTAACGTAGACTGGGTGTAGTATAGAGCGTCTCCAAGGGTAGTGGTCCGCAAGGACGTCCCTCGGAGGCGTTCTTAGATAGTGCGCGAGGGTCCGTAAGTACTTAGCGAGCACTGAAGCGTTTCTTGTGAGGACAAGACACCTTAATCCAACGAGGTTCTCTCGTTGCCGGTGGTGAGTCTGCCATTGGCCAGCAAGAAACGCCCACAAAAAATCCGCTCTTTGCGCCAACTCCTCCCCAATCTTGGACCTGGGTCCACGGAGCTATCGGACGTCCTGAGGTGGAGATTCCATCGCCTCAGTGATGTCGTCAACTCCCTAGCATGCCAACACTCTACTCTCCCCCTCCAACCGAAGTGGAGCCAGCTGGTGATTTTTTGATCAGACTGGCCTCCATTATTGAAGAAGCTTTCATCAGGTTTCCTGATGCGACTACGAAAATCGTAAGCGACCTCAACATTCTGAGGCCGCTTCTCAATCCTGCACACCCTGCCTCAGAAGACGATAATGACTCTGACGGCTATGAGGACTTCCCTCCTCTCCCAACCATCAAGGAGGTCAACTCCAACACCACATCGCCAGCCAATTCGCCAGCCTCTAGGCCAAGAACTCGTTCCAGGTCTAAGAGGCCAAAAAAGCCAACCAAATCCGCCACGAAAACCAAAAAGAAAACCTCTAATGTAGCCAAAGCTACACCATCTTCCACACCAAAACCACCTTCTCCAGCCACAAACCCTGCCACCGCTGCCGCAAAAGCTAAAAGGGCTACTGTTGCTTCCACTATCGAGGTGCCTTCCACCTCCACCACCAAAGCAAACTCCAAGCCTACCAAAACCATCGAGACACCTAGTGCCCCAAAACCAGCTGCCACCAGTTCTGAGAGCCAAGTGAAGCCTCCGCAAAGGTTCACTTATAGAGTGCTCAACATCCCTGGAGCTTACGACACACAACGTAAGTTTTTCCAATTAGTAAACACCCAAGAACTATTCAAGGGTGTAATGGTTAACCTTAAATTTGTGCCGAAGGATCAATTGGCATATCTGGAAGCGTCCAAAACTTTGAACGTAAAAGATATGTCATCTGCGATGTTGACACTGCAATCACCACCGAGGAGCTCGGACTAAGTCTTGTTGAAATCGACTTTCCAGTCAACTCCCTTCACCGAATAATTTCAAAACGGTTCAACAAGCCTACCAGAATGGTCCGAATGTTCCTCGATTCTGAGGAGTACTACACGGACGCCTTAATTAACGGCATCTGTATAGATGGCTTGATTAGGCCATGTGAGGCTCCTCATAATTTAAACATTATAAAACCCACCGCCAAATACTGCAGCAGATGCTGCCAAAGCGGCCACGAAATTTCTGAGTGTCGGACGCGACAGACAACTTGCCCTAATTGCGGTAGCGGCGAGCACAAAAGCGCCGACTGTCCCAACTTAAAAAACCCTAAGTGTCCAAACTGCAAGGGAACACATCCAGCTTGGTCACCCCGATGCCCCAAAAGGCAGGAGACACCTTCCTCCCACCAAGAGGCAAAACCTCTGACTACTGAGAGAAGGATTCCTCCGGCTACACTTACAGCAGACGTTAGGTTGTGGATTCAATTCACAACCACGCTGCTGATGAACGTCCTGCCAGATAGGAGAGAGACTATTGCAAAGTACTCGTCCGACCTGTCGGGTAAGATGTTCGGGCACTCTATAGTGCCCACAGCAAGAAACAATAAGGTCGAAATGACCTTTGTCCCCCTCCAATAAGTCGTTACATTCAACTGTGTAATAGGTACGGTCAACTGTTCGGGAGTCGGTCGAAAGAGAGCACTAATAAAACATCTACTCTTCACCCAAAACATACAAATCCTCTCTCTCACCGACACCCGACTCAAAACCCCCCCTAATTTCACAGGATATACCTCACACCACCTGAACAAAAGCCAGGCCAGTCATGGCAACGGCCTATTGATTCACCACACAATACCCTCCACACGTCATACTCCTCCTCCTCACATATTTGGCCAGCTCCATGACACCGACTTCCTGGCAGTTGACATACACCTACAAGACAACACTAAGATCACGATAATATCCTATTACAAACATCCAAACACACCCCTCTCCATACCCCTTGTCGAGTATTTTTCCACACTAGACAAGGCGGTTTTAATGGGCGACCTAAACAGCAGGCATACTCAATTTGGTGATACAACCTCGAATATTCCGGGCAGACAGCTCTCAGACCTTCTTCTTGAGCTGCCAATTTCCAGAATCACCAACCGAGAGGTCACGTTTTTCAATCATCAAGGAATGTCCATAGTCGATCATATCTTATGCATGGTCAACCTGCTTGATAGGATGGACGATGAATGCTTCATTGGTGATTCCATAACCTCTGACCATCTTCCTCTTCTAGTTAACACTGACTTTAACTCCTTACCTCAACCAAGACCTGCAATCTATAGGATAAATTATCGTAGAGCAAATTGGGATCTTTTCCAAGAACATATCAACCAAAATATTCCTGAGTTAGGCAATATGTCAACACATAACCAAGTTGACACAGGGATTTCCAAAGTTGAGGAACTTCTTCAAGAAGCCTCATCCCTGGCAATTCCCAAAACAAGATACAATCCTTATACTCCAACACTTCCGCCGCAAATCATCGCGCAAATCAAAACCAAACGAAGACTTCTCAGAGAGTATAAAAGATTCAGAGACCCAATCATCAAAACAGAATACAATAGGCTCTCGGCGGTCATAAGACTCGAGGTGAACAAGCTGAAACAAAGACAGTGGATGCGAGTCACCTCGGACCTCGACTACCGGGATGGCTCTGCATTCTGGAATAAACTCAAAGTCCTAACAAGACAAAAAAGTCAGCCACGATCTCATCTCAAAATCAATAACGTCATCCTAAATAATCCACAAGACAAGGCCGAAGCATTCAAAAACACACTTCAGGCCACCCTCGTTTCACACAATAACCCAAATTTCTGCGAAAGATCCAAAAGAGCCACCGAACGGAGAGTGGAAGATATATTCTATTACCCTCAGCCACTTGACGGACCACATCCTCACCCGATGATGGCGCCAGTGACTGAGGAAACCGTCAGTGAGATGTGTAAAATAGGAAAAAACACGTCTCCTGGCCCAGATGGCATCCATAGAAGATGCCTCAAAAATCTTCCACAGAATATCATCCCGTTGCTTACCAATATAATCAATGCATCTCTTGCGCTGAGTTACTTTCCTATTCCGTGGAAAGTGGCCAGCACTGTCATGGTCCCTAAAAAAGGGAAAACCCTAACCAACCCTGAATCGTATAGACCAATTTCTTTATTGAGCACCCTAGGTAAAGTCTACGAGAGGATCCTTAAGGAGAGACTCGTAGAATTCCTAGACGCTCACTTCCTCATACCAAACTACCAATTCAGATTCAGGGCTGGACACTCCACTCAAAACGCATTGGTTGAAGCAACAACCTTCATTTCACAATCCATTAACGAAAGGAAACACGTCGTAGGCATTTTCCTCGATGTCCAGAAGGCTTTCGATCAGGTCTGGCATGCAGGCCTGATCGAGAAACTCCACCTTGCTGGACTGCCAACACCTTTCGTTAAACTAATAAATTCCTATCTCTCCCATCGGACGGTTCGGATCAAAATAGGAGAACATTTCTCCACTCCATTCACTCCTCAAGCAGGAGTGCCCCAAGGCTCAATACTTGCTCCAATATTATACACAGTATACAATAGCGACATCCCCCGCCCACAGCAAGGATCGGAGTCTCTCCTCCTATTTGCTGATGATACAGCCATCCTTACCTCAGGCTCCTACAGGGAAGGAGAGCGACGGTCTGTATTCGAGAAATCGCAAGATTATCTTGACAGAGTCGTGAGGTGGTGCAACAAATGGAGGGTTACATTAAACCCATCCAAAACTCAAGCTATATTATTCAGACCCCCTTACGGACGCGGTCTTCAGGGCCGGGTGACACTTTTGGGAGAAGACCTTGTTCTCAGGAACTCAGTTCTCTACCTGGGAGTTCGTTTTACGAGAACTCTCAGCTGGAAGGCTGACGTCCAAGAATCCCTTGACAGGATGAGAAAAAGGCTCAACCTCCTGAAAGTGTTGGCCGGTAAACTAGGAGGAACGTCCACTAGAACCTTGTTGCACACCTACAAGACTTTTATCCGACCGATTATCGAATACAAGGCATGCGTTTACCTCTCCCTGAGGAACCATGAACTTAATGCCATCACTGCCACAGAGCGTAGAATACTACGTTTCTGCATGAGAAAGGACTGGCTGTATCCATCAGCCCACATACACGCATTATCCAACATCACGCCAATTAAGGACAGAATCCTAACCCTCAGTAGGAAGTATGTCCTAAGAACCATAGCTGGCTCGAACAACCGAGCAAAACAAACACTAAAGACACCTTGCACACATAGAGGGCAAATACTCACCAGGCATCCCGCAAAAAAAGTTCCATTCCCTCCAGCCAAACTTCTTCACAACGCTGGACCTGAACTTCCTGATGAGTATTTTGATATTTTAGAATCTTTCCCCATATACTATCGCAGATAAGCTGCGCACCAAAAATGCTAATAAAGAGCCGTTCCTACTGTATGGCTGGTGACCCTGAAGTACCTCACGGCATGCTAGGCGACCCCCAATTCTTCTTGTGCGTTCACGATTCTTATCGATCACAAAATAAGCCACCTTCTTTTCCCCCTTCTTTCTTAGCAGTTCTCTGCTTCTTAGGCCGCGTTTCGATCAGTTGACGTCTTATCTCGTAACCACCACAACTCCGTCAAAAAAAAAGGAGTTCCCCGTTCCTTGAAGAGGCGTAAGCCTAAACAAGGTTAAAACTCAAGGTTAGTTAGACTATTTGAATATGCCATTTGTTTTAAACAGAAGTTCTCCTCAATAAGAAAAAGAAATGTACATAAATGCCAAGTAATTTCTTAAAGTATAAATATGTGTGTTAAAACGATTCTCACGTAGGTAATAATAAAATGTAAAAAATATACAATTATAATTTTTAAATACTACCTACTAACTATATTTAATTTTTAGTTGACGCCAAGTTGTAAGGAAATACTATTCAAGTGTTTATGGGCCAATAAAGCAGTGAATTGTACCGAATATTTCAAAGCGATGGTAACTTTTCAAGGGTATTGCTGCCTATTTAACTACCTAAAAATCACGAGCAAGTATGAGTTATTTTTGTTAAGGTTAATTTTGCTAGATTATGACATTCACCAACAACCCATAATAATATTCTATATGATGTCGTTAAAACTTTAGCATACCGATGTATTTTATATAGTTAATTAAGTGAACGCTGATAGTGCGACACTGGCTATTTTTTCAATATTATTCGATCCTGTGATTATATATCCAATCCAACTCTTAGTTTGCCTCCAATTCCTTAGGTCATTTCACTCTTGTGGTTATGAAGTATCTCGCATATAAGCAATTCAAACGGCGCGAGTCCATTTGGCCCGATTTCCTTCGGTTAGAGTAAAATTTAGCGGTCCTTATAAGATCGAACCATCCAGTCAATTTTTTAGTCAGTTTATCTTAAGCGTCTTGTGCCGTTGTGTCTTGTGTTTTACTATAGAAGAAGTAGAAATTCTGTTTTTTTGTAACAGCTTGTATTTATATAAAAAAAAAATTAAATGAAGATACAGGTGGCAAAACCAATAGCTTGCAAGAAGAAGAAAAAGCAGTTTTATTAATTTCATTGAGAACTCGAGCTAGAGCCTGTTGATTAGCATAATTACTGGAGGATGGATGAGACAATAATACGTTACTCCAGACGACCACTCCATTAATCATGAGAAAGGACACTAATATGGGAGAAGCCATCACTGTTCACGAAAAACTGAGTGCTACACTAATACACCTAAGATACTTAGCTAGTGAATGTATCTTAAAATTTTAGTAGCTGTTTGCGCCAGGTCTTGGGTAAAATATTTCTGAGACTTGTTCAGCGAGTTTACGTGTTCTCCAACACTATATGCCAGCCATAGCTAGTTCCATACGATGTTATCTTCAAAACTAAACTAACTAATAATAGCGCTTCTTATACACAAACCTCATTATTCTAGAACATCTCGAACATCTATCTCTATTCGTTGCTGCGTCATATGTTCTGGAATGCCTAGGTCACTATTGCTAGAACCGACCATCGTATATTCTGGAGTGCCGCGATCACCATTTCGAACGACGTGAAGATTCTCGTATATGAGTCATATTACTGACAGCTGAATAATTTTAGGTTTCTATGGATTGTTCGTAATTTCAACAGTGATACTTTATTATTTAGATGAATGAAGTCTGTGAATCACTGCGCAATCTTGTCTGATACTAACATAGCCGGTCCATATTGATGTTTTGTATAATAAATGTATCCTTCTTTTATTTTTCGTTTTTCTGGACCAGGTCATCTTACTTCATCCCCAAAATGTATGTTTTCATTCTTCTCATCTCTGTTTCAGTGTTGGCCAATTTCTAGGACATAAATAAGCTGTGTACTTTTCAGGGGGCAATCCACCAATTACGTTTCTTGTACACTTAATCATTTTGCCTTGTTGCTGAAGTTCTTTAAAATTTTATTTATTATATTATATAATTCCATGATACTATGAACTTCTAAAGATAAACTCACGCGCACGCAATCAGTCTATCTCTTTTGCACGTGTGACGTCACTTGGCGACAAATATCACCAAAGATGTTCTGTTTTGTATGGAGTTTTGTCAGATTTAGTATTGTTTAATCGTTTATCTAGTACGTTGACAAATAAATGTGTGCACTTTTACTTCTACTTTTACTTCCTACTACATTTTTATATAATTTTATTATCTATTTAAATTCTATTAATTTACATTGCTAGCCTAACAGAGATATAAGTATATATAACACATTTTTAAGTTTTAATTGCAGACATTTTACCTAATATCCCTAAATATTCCAAATATTTAAATAAAAACCCTCTCTTTCCATATATGTTTAAATGATAATTGGAATTTTTATCACCAAGTGACGTCATGCGCATCGAGGTACAAAATTCGATTGCGAAGTGGGCTTATCTTGGAAGTCACAGTATTATGATATAACTCTTTGTAATTTAATTTTGATTTAGGATTTAGGACAGTAATTTTACTTATAGAGCTTTTCCTGTCGCTATTACTTATAAACTGTGAATGATTCATATTAAATAAATAAGCGCCCCATAATGGCTATTAAATTCCACTGTTGTAGGATCATTGTAAGGAGAGATACACTTAAGTCTTCTCTTTAATATTGCATTTAGTTGTATAATATAATGTTGATAATTTTAGTGCTACCGAAATGACCGATTTGAAACTCAGCAAAAAAGTTCTATACCAAAAAACTATCGGCGCAAGAAACGGTCTGACTGTCGTCATAAGAAATAACATCGATGACTACTTTTTTAACAACATACCTACATTCGGTGCAAATGTTTATATTTTTGAAGCCAACAATTATCCTGATGCCAGTACAGGAAGTACTGGAAGTGTAATGGTGGAAAATGGTACTGAAACCTTCGTCGATGTTGTACCTAAGATAGTTCGGGCTAATAAAGCGATTATGAAATACTCAGAAAAAGCAGTAAGTATATAGTATAGCTCATCATACTTGATCTGTATCTGTAGTAGTTAAAGTGTATTCAGATTAACATCTCATGCATACAATGCCAAAGAGCTTCTATAGGAAAGTATATTATTTTGAAAGTATTTTATCCCTTCTTCTTCTTCTTATGGTGGATATCCGTTACGGATGTTGAACACTAACATGGCTATTCTGACTTTGTTGACTGCTGCCCTGAAAAGTCCGGTAGTGGTTAAGTTAAACCACTTTCGCAGGTTATGCAGCCAGGATATTCTTCTCTGTCCTGGACCTCTTTTACCATGCACTTTACCTTGAAGTATGGTCCGAAGTAGGTCATATCGTTGTTCATTGCGCATTATATGGCCCAGGTATTCCCAACAGAAGAATATTTTCTCATTTTCCCATTTTATCCCAACAGAAGAATATTTTCTTTGGCAAAGTATTTTTATTTTCATCTTTTCATTTACGTTGTATTTGGGAGTCAGAGGCTGGGATGGTGACTATTTATAGGCATACCGCTTATTATATTATTTTCTCACGATTAATATGAACTATACCTGAAGAACTAAATAATAAACTATATTATAATAAAAGTGGCGAAATAAAATATTTCTTATAACCATTGACCGAAATGATCTGTTAATACCCTATTCAGGAGTAGTAATTATCTGGCTATTATCCTCTATTAGAAGATTAGACCCATTAATTGAAAAATTATTCATTATTAAAATTTTTTCTTGGAAAACAGGTCCATTATTCACAACAAATCCCAGGATTGTAGATTTTGATTGTCTCCTCGGGATTCTTTTCGAGATTTATTCTAGTCAAATGTATAATTATTAAGTGTGCCTTACTTATAATCGAAAAACTAATTTTTCTTAACGTATTTCATCACTTTAACATCAATTCATGTGTCTATTATAATCGAAGTAGGAATGTAGTCAACGATGAACAGTCAATCAACTATTACCTACTACGTGTCGAAAAGGAAACAAGCATAAATCAACTAAAACCATCCAAGGAAATATTAGAAAACTTATCAACGAAGAAGAACACATTTCATAAAAAAAGTACATTCATAAGTAGTTCCATAAATGAAAGTGAAATAAGATATTCCTAATCAAAAAAGATAGGTACTAAGCTGGAAAATGGTGGGAAAGATCATTTATAAAATTCTACGGGAATTAAACTTTATGTGAAAAAACATCACCAAAAGTCTCAATTAATCGAAATAGATTAAATTTTTTTTTATTATTATTGAGTTAATGCCTTGATACCTAAAAAACCTAATGCAAAAAAATACAAAGATCATCGTACTATCAGTCTAATGAGCCACATTCTTAACGCAGTTTGGATTCAGGGATGTGTTAGGTACTAGAGAAGCCTTGTTCGCGGTTCAGGTATTACTTCAAAGGTGCAGAGACGTCAATTGCGATATTTATGTATTGTAGCGAGATTAAATAAAACGAGCGGTTCGAATTTATATAAATATATTTATTTATAACTTTACAGTTCGGTACTATCTTATCAACTAAACCTAACTCCTAATTTCGTTGCATATATATACCAAAGTATTATGTTCGAGAATATTCGGGAGTAGTCCCACCTCTTATTCGACGGGTGGAATTTTACAGCGCTTGATATATCGCCGAAACTTCTCGGGGCTTCGAGATGCGACAGTTAGGCGGGCCATGCTGAATGCATGTTCGTAACACTGCTCCCTCCTAGATCTGAGCGTCCCGATCTATAGGCCCAGGATGGCGGAATCTACAGGACTCTCCAGCTCTGCATGAACCCCTCAGAAAGAAATAACAGTCTACTGTCTTTGAAGGACACGATCTCTTCGGATTAATGCAACACACAGTAATTCTTACACCGGTTTCTCGGAAGATCACTTCAAGCATGCTTTTGACAATCTTCCAATCCAGATTATCTAGTGCATGGCCTATCTTGGGTAAAGCCAAGTTCTTAATGTCGTATTTGCAGACGATTTTCTTTAAATTAGTTAGAGCACACCATATATCCTCTTAGGTTGCCCTGTCTGTATACGACTTCCTGGTCACCATATACAGCAAAAATCGAGAACCATCTTCTAATCTCAGCACTCTTCCAACTTTAGGCTACTGGTTTTTTAACTCGTACAAGCGACCAAATTTCTTATAAAATACGGATGAGATTCTTTTAGTCATCTCAAGATCTTGGGCAACACAGTGGGCTAGAGTGACGTTATGCGAAACACTAAAAAGATACTGGTGAACTTCTGTCGTCACGCCGAATCTAGCACTCTTTCTCTCTGCGTAATTTGACATAAACTCGTTAAAGCTTGGTCGCCGGTCATCTTTGATCTCATGTTGAAGGATTCTTACTTTTTCTGTTTCATTTGAGCAAGCATAAGGTGCAAGACGATTTATGTGAACTACTTTTGGTTTATCTTTCGGCAACTTCTTAATTCGGTATATTACGTCATTTATTCTCTTTTTAATTTCATACGGACCCCCCCATTGTCTTTGCAGTTTAGGAGACAAGCCACGACGACGTTGTGGATTATAAAGCTAAACAAGATCACCGATTTCATAGTTTTCATTCTTGCATCGAGAATCCTATTGATTTTTCATTCTGTCACTGGCTAACTGGATGTGTTGTCTGGCAAGTTCATGAATGTTGTTCATTCTTAACTTCAGGCGGTCGACATAATCTTCTCTTGCAACATGCTCTTCGGAAGGTCTGCAGCCAAATTCTAGGTCGCAGGGCAAACGAACTTCACGACCTAACATCAGGCAGGTTGGAGTTTGGCCTGTAGTTTCATTAACAGCCGAGCGGTAGGCCATTAAGAATAAATTAATGTGCTGGTCCCAATCTCTTTGATGTCCTGATATAACTTTGGACAGGTGTTTACCCATCGTTCGGTTCATTCTCTCGACCATTCCATCTGATTGAGGATGCAGGGGTGTCGTTCTGGTCTTATTGACACCAATCAATTTACAAACGTTTTGGAAAAGGGTTGACTCGAAGTTTCGTCCTTGGTCGGAGTGGATCTCTAAAGGAACACCAAATCTGCTGAAGAATTCTTTAACAAGTACCTCTGCAACGGTAGCAGCTTCTTGATTTGGTATCGCGTAGGCCTCAGTTCATTTCGTAAAATAATCCATAGCTACCAGGATATATTTATTTCCATCATTCGTCTCTGGAAGTGGACCGGCAATGTCGATTGCTACCATTACCATTACTGGTTGCACACAGTTCACATTTCCAGCACCATCTTCTTACATCATCTTTACAGTTCACCCAATAGAACCGTTCTCGAACCTTTTGCAGAGTTTTCGTAATACCAAAGTGTCCACCTGATGCACCGTCATGTAACTGACGCAATACTTCTGACACTTTACTTTTAGGTACAATCAATTGAAGCTTAGTTTCTGTACCATCATCGTTCTCAAAGGTTCTATACAGAAGATCATCTTTCAGCAATAGGCAATTCTATTGGCTCCAGTAACACTTGACTTCGGGACTACATGAACTAATGTCTTTCCAAGAAGGTCTTTGCCATTGATCATTAATGACGGTGGTTCGTCTCACGGGGCAAAGTCTTTCTTCTAATTTAAGACAGTGATTACAATGTTCACTGCACGGCCGTCTCGAAAGCGCATCAGCATTTAAATGAACTCTTCCATGTGAAAATGCTCGCAAGCCTTTACTACGCCTAGCAATTCTCTCCTGGTAACGCAATAGTTTCTTTCTGGTTTCGACAAGACTTTACTAAAGTAAGCGATGACTTTCTCCTGTCCATCTTGGATTTGGGAGAAAAAAGCTCCTATTGCACTGTTGCTTGCATCGGTATCCAACACAAATTTTCCTGCCTGTCTAGGGTAGCTTAAAATCGGTGCGCTGATCAGAGCCATTAGTAAGTGTTCGAAAGCTCTTTGACATTCTTCGCTCCATGTATATTCTTTGCCTTCTTCTGTCAACTTTGTTAATGGCTTGGAGATGTTGGCAAAACCTTTAACAAAACGTCGGTAATATGTACACAGGCCAAGAAAACTTCTATTTTCGTGTTTATCTCTTGGTACCAGCCAATCCTTAATTGCTGCAAGTTTTTCAGGATCACCTGTTACACCATTACTTGCTACAATATGTCCCAAGTACTTCACTTCTCGTCGAAACAAGTGACATTTCTTCGGACTTAACTTCAAATTTGATGCCCGCAATCGTTAAAAGACTTCTGTCAAATTATTGGCATGTTCATCGAAGGATCTTCCTACTACAATTACATCATCCAAATAAACCAGGCATGTTCTCCATGTTAGACCTCTTAAAACTGACTCCATTAATCTTTTAAATGTGGCCGGGGCATTACATAAACCAAAGGGCATAACTGTGAACTGCCAAAGCCCTGATCCTATCGAGAATGCGGTTTTCTCACGATCAGCTGGCTCCATGTCTACTTGCCAATATCCACTTTTCAGATCGAGTGTGGAGAACCAACGGGAACCAGAAAGTGTATCCAAAGTATCGTCTATTTTGGGCAAAGGATAACTATCTTTTTTAGTTACCGCATTGAGCTGTCAGTAGTCAATACAAAAACGTGTTGAACCATCTTTCTTCTTTACTAGTACTACTGGTGATGTCCATGGACTGTTTGATGGTTCAATTACCCCTTGTTTGTTTATATCTTTAATGATGTCTTCGGCTTCATCTCTTTTCGCAAATGGAAGTCGTCTAGGTTGTTGTCTGATTGGCTGAGCGTCTCCGGTAATAATTTTATGCTTTACTATGCTTGTTTTGCCATTATCCTTCTTATCAATGGCAAAAACATCTTGTGGATGTTTGGATGGATGGATAAGACATGTGAAATTATATCCACAGTAAAACAGCGCAAGCTAGAATATCTTGGACATATAATGCGAAACGACCATAGATATAACCTGCTGCAACTTATATTACAGGGAAAGGTCTACATAAAGAGGGGACCAGGAAGAAGAAGAATATCATGGCTCCCGAATTTACTAAAATGGTTTTCCTTGACCACTTCAGGACTATTTCGAGCTGCGGTCAATAAAGTTAGAATTGCGATGCTAGTTGCCAACATCCGTAACGGATAGGCACTACAAGAAGAAGAAGGTACTGTTTGTGTTAGCTGAAGAACCATACTTGAACCTGCCATTAAATCAGGAAAATCATCGGGCACAACATTAGTTGGGCTTCCTACAAAAATTGCATAATCGTAGGAAAATTGCTGACACCACTAAGAACAAACGCCTTATATCCCCATTTGTGGGGTTTTTGCGGATTATATTGTTTTATAGATGAACGCGCCTTTGTTGGAATTATCTGCTCATCTATGGCTAATAATTGCTCTTTCGGAACTTTAAGTAACTGATTCCTTAGTTTATTTAGTAGCGGTCGGATTCTAAAAAGTTTATAATGACCAGGATTACCGGCAGCAAGAGCGTCGTTATGGTTCGCAAAATGTAAAAATCGTTTTATTTCTTCCCATCTATTGCATGACATAACATCTGAGATCAATCGATGATTCAGACTGAAGTTCCAATAACTTCTAGCATTTAGCAATTGCACTTTTGACATACAAAATAAATAAAAAGTAAATACAGCTTTTTAAAAACTGAAAAACAAAACTGTTCTAGCTCATCTTCAGAAAGTTTCAAAGGTTTTTGAGGACTGTTTTCCACTGAATGTAATGTAGTTTGATAAACTATATCTTTGATCATCATCTCATTTGTTAAAAAAATATTTTAAAATGCGTAAGGGGAATCCACTTGTTGAAAGTCAGGTGGCAGGCCAATAGAATCGAGAAATCTTATATCATCACCTGATATTTCCATTTCTGGAATAATAATATCTGATTCATTATTATTTATTATATTATCTTCATAGTTTCTGATGGCCTCAGATGGCTTCACTACCATCTGCAATGTCCACTACCACAGGAGTTTTACCATAAAACTTTTTTGGATCCATTATCTAAAATAAAAAAATAATAATAATACCTAGTTCAGAGCGCTTATTGTCCCATATATGAATGATAGTTTTGCACGATAGTGCATATTGCGGCATATATGGCACAACCATATTTTTGATAAAAAATACGAAAATATAAATAAATACGTGAAAATACTTGCAGAAATACTTTCTTGAAGGTCTTTCCTTGATGTCGCTATTTTTTTTTGTACAAAAACATTCAGGAGAAACTTCGATAATTCAATATAAAATTGCACAATTCTTATGAACAGTTGTCAGACCGTGGCCAATTGCAAATTTTGATAAAAGTTTACTTTGCTGCATTGAAATGGCGCTTTATTACCGGTGATACGAAATATGTGCACTATATAGACATGTCATGCATAAATACTTTAAAATAAGATTCGATCTCTTACAGTTAGGTATAAATCTAAGTATTGTGTCATATATGACCCACTATGCGGTAAGGGGTTAACGTTAAAAGGTTACTGTTGAACCTGAGAGGTTAAGGGCTGATTAATTAATATTTGATTACAATCAAGCTTTGGTTAGCGTTCGAACAATTGGCCCTTAGTATAATAGATGGACTTGAAATCAATTGGGCTCTGCCTGCACAGCTTAGAATCCTGTCAAGAGTCTAAACGTTTTTTGTCTTTATTTTCATATAAAAATAACCTTAAAATAATGTACGACAGCTAGGGTTGTCTTTTTTAACGGATACATTTATCGACGTGAAAAAATTAATCTAAATGTTATGCAATATTTTTATTTCCACAGATGAAAATTATTAAGAATATAATCTTTATTTTGTGCACGTGCACTATAAACAAATCTAATTTTTTTGTTGCTAACAGCGCTCCTGTATTTTTTCTAAAGAACGAGTAGGAGTATTCGGAGATTCTTCCTCGGGTGATTGCTTAGTAGGATGCAAAGCCGAAAAAATGAAAAAGCTGTGCCATTGTGTACCATTTCAAATTCCCCTTAAAAGCAGTCTTGTGTGCAATCTTATGGATTTAAACTGTTTATCCCGACACAAAGGTAAGTCTATGTCTATTGTTTATAACCGTTTTTTGCTTGTTCTTGTTCTTAAGATTTAAAAATTTTATAATTAAACCAAAATTTTATAATTAAACCAAAGGGACCAATTTATCGAAATAAAACACAGCACAGGGAAGACAACATCACCACTCGTAAGGAGTAAAATATATCTTCATAAATCATTATTTACCACTTAAAACCAAAGTCTTCATCCGAAGATGGTATTTTTTGATTGTACACTGTAAGGGCTTGGAAGCTTTCTGACGCTTCTTTAAATAAGCTCGAGGCCTTCGAAATGTAGTTACACGCCCATCTTAAGACTTCTATAGGAGGTCAGAGTACCTAATTAATATTGACGGTACGAAAATACAGAAGGAAAGCGAGATCGTTAATATAATCAAAGATCGCAAATAAAAATACCTGCGCTATATTCTGAGAAATGAGCAGATATATGGCTTGTTACAACTCGTTCTTCAGGGCAAGGTGTATTGAAAAAGTGAGCCAGACTGAAAATAATTTCTTGGCTCCAAAGCCTGCGAAAGTGGTTCACTACGCCAGTAAAGTAAAAACAGCCATGTTAATTGCCAACATCTGAAACGACTATAATAGGCAGTATAAGAAGATTTGTTTATTGTTCTATAATTACAATATTATTTTTCTAATTTTCGGCATTTTCATAACTATATTTTTCCACAAATATTACGACCTTCTTAAATATAAATTGAGGTATTTTAGTTTACTTAATGCCGATAACGTGTCATAACTAGGGCGGCAAATATGCAAACGCCAAAAAATGGCTAAAATATGCACTAAAAACCGGGATATGTATTATACTCGAATAATATGCAATAGGTAAATATGCATTTATAATTTAACTATGGACAGTAATGTTTATAACATTAATTTTCCTATTAAGACAAAAAAAGGTGATTTTTATTAAAGTAATACTTTCAATTGCTTCGTTAATATTTTTAAGCTGAATCATAAAAAACTGAAAAAAATCAATTTAAAATATAATTATTTATATTAAAGTTTATTATAATATACTTCATCTAATTTACTTACCGTTGCACGTCATCCGCGTCATAGCCCGTGAGGTCACATGATACCAACACGAAATATTTAGGCGTTAGGTGTGTTCTTTTTTAGCATCACTTTGCCGAGTACAGTGGCATTACAGCCACTAGACATAATTTTAAAGAAATACACAATAATATGTTTCATTTAATTTATATAAATGCATTATAAATCGTTTTTATGAAGAACATTTGTTCGGAACACACGGAACACTGTAGCTGTAATCGAATGAAGGTGATATTTTGGCATCAATTGGTAACACTGATTTGACAGTTGGGCTGTTGACACTTTTTGTACTTTGTTATTTTGAATTTTAAAGTGAATACCTCTTGTTTCATATTTTTACCTATTTAATAAAATATGTTCTTTTTAGAACAAAATTAATGTATTTTATTTCAAAAATGTCACGAAAGAACTTAAATAATCGTTGTAAAATGATAAGTAATGAAAAAGAGTGTTGTTTTTGTTTAAGTATTCCATTTTACATCTTTATACGACTCATACAAGCGGCTCAAATTCTTTTTAACAAGATTATTTTTTAACTCTTGTTTTGTTTCTATTTATTTACATTAAATATTAATTTGTTTTGTTGTATAATTAATAATCCACTTTTGCAATAATTATGTGACCTATTTGATTTAAAATGGATTCAGGATTTTTTTATATTTTGGCAACTATGTCAACTTCAGTCTCTGTCAATGATAATGACGTGCAACGGTAAGTAAGTATCAGAGATATGTAAGAGAGTATACTCTCTTACATATCTCTGGTAGGTATACATAAAACAAAAATTCAAAAAAATTATCTTTTTATATCTATCTAATATATAAAATTTCCCTGTCACAATGTTAGTTACCGTACTCCTCCGAAACGGCTTTACCGATCGTTACCAAATTTTATATGCACATTCAATAGGTCTGAGAATCGGCTACTATATATCTATTTTTCATACCCCTAAGTGACAAGGGTTATTCACCCTTAATTTTTTTTTATAATTTTTTGACGAAATTTTTTATTTTTGTTTTTTTATAATGTTGCATTAAAAAATACATACAACCCTAAACTTTTACTTTTTTATCATCAACCCCTATTTTTTATGGCTATTTTAGTAATTTAATCATTTTTCATCTCGCTCGATAACTGATCAATTATAGTGTTTTTAACTGTACTTCGATTAAAAATCTAAAATGTTTTTTAAGAAAATAAACATTTATTTTTATGATTAAAGTTTAATCCTGATATATATGCTTAGTGTTACCAATCTTAGATTCTTTAAGTTTGCCGCACCTTTACTGATGAGTGAAATGCCACACTATACCATAAACTGAAGCCGGTCTCCTGTTTTACTCACATAAGACTTCTCTCACTCCCTACACAGTTTTCGGCCATCCATGATTATTGTTTATGCATTAAGTGTAGTAGTATCGTTCACAATTACCAATTTTCTATTTCTGTGTAACTATTAATTATTACTATTTTATTCATAATAATACCATCATCGTAAATAGGCAGTCCATGTCATATGGAAGAATATATACAGGATGCTATATACGTGCGCGAATATGGACGACCGTGTTTATTTATCACGTTCAAATGTAATCCAAAATGGCCAGAGATTACATCTTTGCTATTGCCTGGCCAAAATGCAATATATCGTCATGACATTACAGCACGTGTATTCAGACAAAAGTTGAAGTCTCTAATAAGTTACATTACTAAAGTGCTGCCGATATGTTGGCCTTCGAAGAAAAGATGAAAGAGATGGAAAGGAAGATGGAGGGAACAGGGACAGCAGAGAGAGGAAACAATCCAATTATAGTAGAGACAGAAGAAGACGAGACAAAATGTAAGTTAGAAACACGGCCGAAATTTGAAGGAAGTGGAGGTTCTGTTCATGTCAAAGTCCCAACTTTCGACGGAAAATCGTCATGGAACAACTACATGAAACAGTTCGAATCAGCTGCAAGAGCAAATGGATGGTCTGAAAATGAAAAGGCTGTAAACCTGAATATCGCTCTTCGAGGAGATGCTTTAGATGTGCTTCAGACCATAGCCGTAGAGGAGACGGATGATTTTGAACAACTTAAGAAGAGGTTAAATATGCGATATGGCCACGAACATTTGGAGCATGTATATCAGTCGCAGCTTAAAAATCGAAGACAAAAGAAAGATGAGGCTCTTCAAGAATATGAGGTAGATATTGCCAGATTAGTACGATATGCTTATCCAACAGCTCCCGCAGACATGATGGAAAAGTTGACCGTTCAAACGTTTATTGATGGTCTTCGTGATCATGAAATGCAGAGAACACTACGATTAGCTCGTCACAAGACGCTGGTTGATGTCTTATCCGCCACCCTCGAATACGAGTCAGCTATGCAGGCCTCTGGCGGGTACAGTAAAGTTAGGACTGTAAAAGAGGAAGGAGATGAAGATAAACTTGACCAGCTCGTTAATATGATAAAAAGCATGACATACAAGAAACCGAAGACCATAAGATGCTGGAATTGTGGCGAAATAGGACACGTACGAAGTTCTTGTAAGCATCCTAGGCATCCTAAGCATCCGAGGTTGCGACTGCGGACCGCTACTGGTGAAAATACCAACATTCATGGAGAAATCCAGGTACAATTAGGAATTGGAGCAGAAAATTTCGTCCATACTGTTTTTATAGTTGCTAACATCGAAGAGGATGTTATATTAGGAATGGACGTAATGAATACGCATGGATTCCAATTGGATTTTAAGAATAAGGTAATCAAAGTTGGTAACGAGGAGGTATTTCTCCATCCACATAATGACAACACTATGCCAGCAGCCGTCAAAGAAGATACAGTCGTGCCTGCGAGAAGTGAAACGATAATAGTGGCGCGCCTACAGGGAATTGTGGACGAAGGGACACCTGTTATGATTGGACCTTGGAACCATGACGACGAGGTTGGCCGAGGAATCATAATTGGAAAGTAATTGGTGACTTCGGCTAAAGAAATACCTGTGAGACTTATCAATGTCGATGACTATCCAGTCACCATCAAGAAAGAGACAAAAGTAGGAACTTGTGTACCTGTGACATCCATAATCCGTCAGACGACAACATCTGATAATTCTAACGACAAATTTGACCAAATGGTTGCAGTTGCTGGACAGTCTCTGAATCAGATTGAGAAAAGGAAATTAAGGGAATTTCTTCGACAGTATCGTGATATTTTCGTACCGTAAGGAGGAAAGACGGGAAGAACTACCGTTGTTAAGCATAAAATTGATAGTGGTAAACTGGTAATTCGTCAAACAGCTCAACGATTACCACATGCGAAAAGAGAGGAAGCTGAAATGATTGTTCAGGAAATGAAGAAAGACGGGGTAATAGAACCTTCTACGAGCCCATGGGTCTCTCCGGTGGTCCTGGTTAAGAAGAAAGACGGAACAACGAGATTCTGTGTGGATTACCGTTTGCTGAACAACGTTACCAAGAAAGATAGTTATCCTTTAGCTTTAATTGATGACACATTGGACACATTGGCTGGAAGTAAATTATTTTCTACTTTGGATTTGAAGTCTGGATACTGGCAGGTAGAGATGGACCCGGTAGATAAAGAAAAGACAGCCTTTACCACAGGATCTGGATTATGGCAATTCAACGTTATGCCATTTGGACTCTGTAATTCTCCTGCGACATTTGAGAGGCTTATGGAAAATGTGTTGAGAGGGTTATCTTGGAAAACATGCCTAGTTTATCTAGATGACATAATCGTCTTGGGGGAGACATTTAAAGATCATTTGAGGAATTTAGAAAACGTTTTTAATCGACTTAAAGCTGCCCAATTGATGTTAAACCCCAAGAAGTGCCAGCTATTTCAAGGTAAAGTCAATTATCTGGTTCATATAGTCCGTAAAGAAGGAGTGGCCGTGGATAAGGGAAAAATCGATTCCATTAAGGAATGGCCAAAACCAACTGACAAACATCAAGTGAGAAGTTTTCTTG